AAAGATGATAGAATACTATAAAAAGCCAGGATCACCCACGTAAATTGTCTTATCAAGAAAAGAACTTAGCATCCTCCTGAATGCACAGCATGTCAAGAGGCTTTTATTGTAAAACATATTCTAACTGATAATAGTGGCCTTGCACCTATACGTCAACAATTTTTATGACATGACTAATCTAGATGACCTTTTCAAAAAGAATAAAGTAGAGAGTTTCCTAGCCTACTGAAGGTTAGTCACTACCACAAATTATAGCAATAATTCTAGAGGAACAACTGTAGTGCCATGGAACCAATACACCAAAGGATTGTTTTCAAGTCATATATTTAATTAAAAAAAATTTTTCAGCCTTAAATAATGAACAGAGTTGATATGCTATTAAAACAGAACAACCAATTGATTAATCAACCCACAGTCTGAAGGGACATGACAAGAGGAGAAAAATGACACCTTTTAGGAGAAATGACAAGCATTAATGAGATTCTTTGAGAAAGTTCACTGATATAGTATATTAAAAAAGCATGCCAGAAACTATCATTTTAATTTCAGTTACTTTTTTTTTGCAATTCTCACACTATTTACATTGTTCGGACTGTTGTCCTCAGCTTTGTCATATTCATAATGTTTCGGCCGTTGTACACTCTGACCTTCTTCAGGTGATATATATTGGAATTTCAAACCAATCCCTTTATTTAGTCCATTGAGGTAAATTGTTCCCATGTCTTTTATACATATCGCATTTTCAGTTAATTCCCTTTAGTAACTCATCTCACAAAGGTTTTGTTCACCTCTGTTGTGGCCAGGTATTGAACTCACAACTCTTTGGGTCAAAGTCACTAGTATACATCAACCAATGCTTTTATTCAGTGAGTCCCTCAAAGATAAGGACAACAGTCTGAACAATCTAAATAATGTAAATAGTTACAATACCTCATCTCATAAATATAGACAAATATTTTCACACTGTTATTTTTGGTAGTTATTAAGCAAAACTGGTCAGATATAAAGAATAAGCGTTGGTGAAACTTAAATACCTATTTCCATGAGAAGCCTGCTTTAATATAAATGCTTTACCAATCAGGCCACAGAGACTTCTAGCTGCTGTCATTACAATCTATCTCCATTAATCATCTGAGAGACCCTGTCTGCCTTCCATCAGCATGGCTCATGTTAACCTCCAAGAAACTCATTGCATCTTCGGGGTTAATGTTCTCAGCTGACATGAAATGAAGACTATATTGAATCATTTACTTAGCTAAGAAAGTTGGTTTACTGTGATGAGCAAGACAATTTTTCTCTCCAGAATTTATCTTACATATCTATAAGTCTACCATTCATCCATGCTTAGAATATAAATTACCACATATAGTCCAGTGCCTATGCTATTTACCTTGATAAGATCCAAAGAAGAATCAGCAATATTATTGGTCCTGATCTGGTGGCTCAGATTTTGTCACTTGCCCACTGCTGTAAGGCTGATACTCTATCTTTTCTATAAATACTTTCATTGTAATTGTTCAGATGAGCTCTTTGCGACAATACCTAAACTTTTTGAATTTAAGCGCAGTGCTTGACTGGCGTCGAGATCTCATCAATTTACATTGAAGTGGCTAGATGTAGCCCTAAGTTCTAGGCTAACAGTTTCTTTCCTCGCACTTCTCGCTTGTGGAGCTCTCTTCTGGCTCCATGCTTTCCAGCCAAGATTAATCTTCAAAAATTTAAAATTATTAATATTTCTGATTTTTCCAAACCCAGTAACCACTTGTCTTATTTATTTATTATCTCTGACTGACTGAGACATTGTCACAAATAATATCAGCAGCAACATATGATTACATTTCATTCCCTGTAATTCTTCAAATAATTTCTATCAATTATTATTATTATTATTTTAAAGCAAGCTTTATCTTATTTAGAAAATAAGTGGAAGATGATTGTCTCCTCTTCATTTCCCTTTACTGCAACTTATGTCAAACTAATCTAAGCCCACATGATCACGTGTATGCATGGTCATGGCTTGGATCTGTGAATGAAGACTCCGGAAAGCTTTCCACGCTTATTATGAGAGAATGCTTACAAGTTCTTGACCCATCAGACATATTTCCCAAAACCTAACCAAATGACAAAACATCAGAATTTAACTAGATGTCAAAATCATCTAACATGGAATATAAAGACTCCAAAAATAAATCCCTAATGTCTTTTAGGACTGTACAGTGATCTAGTGGATAAAGAAATTGATTGAACATGAGGAGTTAAAGTCATATGGTGGTTGGGTGTTCAATCACTGGATCAAGTAGTGAAGCACAGTTTAGCAGGAACAGACAGCAACTAGCATCATACGGACAAAATAACAATAACAAATATCCTGTATCAGCCAAACAAAAGATACCTGATGATGATCAGATGGTACTTGACCGAAACCTTGTAACTATAATAAAATTTAGAACAAGCAAGATGATTCCACAATTATAAAGAACAAGATTCGACAAAATAAAGTATATCGGAATTTCTTTTGGAAATCGTCCTAGGTTGAGCCAGCAACTTTTCATTACAGTTTTAGAGATGTGCACCAATTTTGAGAGTCACATCAAAGAGTTACATGTTTCCGTAAGGATTCCACAGTCAAATATTTATTCCAGAACTTTGGTCTCTGCTATAAAATTTGTTTGCTTTCCATCTGTTGAGGATCAAGTGGAGCAAGACTTTACCAAAGTGACAGATCAAGTTGATAGTTCTATAATTTAGGTTCTGTCAGATTTTCCTGTTTTGGGGTAGACGTAGAAATAGTGACTAAGACCATTCTTAAGAGCACTTATTCTCTTGTCAGATTTTCTAGCAAAGTGTTCTCAAAGCATTTAACATCAGCTATCAACATTTTGGCAGGTCTGTGGAAATGTCATCCACTATGGGAGGATTTGTGTTTTGAAACATTTGCTACTGCCTTTTCTTTATTCATCACAGGACGACTTTTCTCACTTTTCTTCAGAATCTGTGTCACTTTCACTCTGGGTGGAGCTAATAATTATACAGACATTTAAAATATTTCAACCATCTCTCTTGGACTTTGTTAACAACTTATTGTCTCCATCTTCAGTGGCAGCAGATCTGGGTTTGTTGCCCCCCCCCCCATGAGGGGGCTTTTAGTGAATTGCAGTTCTGCTTCTTGGTACCATCTTCTTCTATTTACCCTCACAGGATGCAATGAGCAAAAGTTTTTAAAAAGTCATTTTAAAAAAGGATTTCAATCCATTCACAAAAATAACATCTTAAAATGATTTTTAAAAAGCCTATGAAGACAAATATGATGATCTTTGATTGGTCGCTATCATATTGAATGTCACTCTGACTGGTTTACAGGACAACCAGGGAAAATTAAGGAAACTTAGAGAAACTAAGCTTGACAACTATCAAGATGAATTTAAAAACAAAATTTCTTTTAAATATGCCCAGGCAAATGTAAATGGAAAATACTGCCCTTCATTTTGCAACCTTTTTTGGCTTGCTGTCCTCTTGTGGTTAGCACTATAATTTCTTTTTATATGGGTTGTACACGTGAATGAATCTAGGAGAAGGAAAAGAATTCTGAATTTAAAACCAGCCTGAAAGGGGTTGAGTTCTATCAGGCCCTAGAAACAGAGCTGCTGTACATATGGTGCCCCGACCAACTGCAAGGGCTCATATTCATGGGTACCTAACTTATCCAAGAACTAGTACTGCTAGATACTATTCCAACTAAAGAACTAAAATAGTACTAAATAATACTAAAGAACTATTTTAACTATATACAAATCATACATTAATTAGCTGTTATTCAAACATATATTTAAATTAGCCTAATTTACAAAACTAACACAGATAATGACTCAGTTGAAACTGTAGATTCCCTGTAAGGTAGAGGGCTACAGGAAATCTTTAGTGTAATTTGGTGACATGACAACAGTATCCTGATTTTTCTCACATGAAAATGTGGTAATGCAACATTTTGAATTGATAGAAATAACAATTCTTTCTTTCACTTCCTTGATATACTATATTGATGGCATATAAGATTTGGGCTGCCATGTCCTCTGTGGTCGAGCAGTCTACAACATGCCAGATCAGATGACAGTTTCTCCAACAAAGGATGATGCATACTAAAACCCTGCCATAGAGCACATTTTGTTAGTTTTCTCATGCATGCAGGCCAGTACACATAATAAAACAATGTTTAAAAAACAGGGCATCTATTCAAACACAGGTATCCACTAAAAATAATGTTTGAAGTAATTTAAAAAAAAATGGTGGATTAAAAATGAATCCATTAATTCTTTAGAAATTACTTTGGATACAAAATCGAGCTGCTTTCAAGAGAATCTGAACAAAGGAATGTGCATTCCTTAAAAGGGTAACTGGAACTTTGCTGGGCTGTGATGCTTTCTGTGGCCAAGCAGTCTAAAGCATACCAGATCAGATGACGGTTTCTCCTTCTAAGGAGGATGCTAGTTCAAACCCTAATGGAGAACACATTTTGTTCTCTCAACTGCACAAGCCATTAAACAGAATGCACATTGTTCAAAAAATGGGGTCAAAAGTCAAACACTGGTATCTACTAAAAATAACATTTGAAGTAATAAAAACAAATTTATTAACATATATATATATATATATATATATATATATATATATATAATAGTTGGAAAATTAATGACAAAATGGGAAAAACTTTTATGTGACATGTTTCATCCTTCAGGAATTTTTAGACAAAAGTGATGCTTACATTAATGTAACTAAACATGTGCATGAAGGAGAGGGGGTGCTGAAATTTGTTGAACTTTTAACTACTTTCTTTTAATGTGGTTGGATATATAATGTAGCCAATTTCATTTAGTTTCTTTTCCTTTTTGTCTATATTTTTATCACTTTTGTTATTAAGTATTCCGTATTGTGACATTTTATATATATATATATATATATATATATATATGGGAGCTTTTTAATAAATGTGAAAACGTAAATATTTAGTGACAATTTAGGCATTTAGGGTGACATTTCACTTGATCAACGTTGCATTTACATCCACCACTAAGGTCACCAGCACCCTGAAAAATATAAAAGAAAAATGAAAATACATCACATTAGACATATATATATATATATATATATATATATATATATATACACACAAATAGCAGAACAGATCAAAATATACAGAATTCTGGAAAAAATTACTGTAAAATTAGTCTAAAAAAACATAAAAGTGTTTATAAAAATGTTCTTCATGATTTTAAAAGATTATATCTGGTATTAAAAAATGCAGAATTTTATCCACCATATTTCCAAAGACAGAGGTTTAATGGAACAAGTTCATCAAAGATTTCAACATGATTGAAATTCTATATTCTGAAGTGACTGTGTAGGTGTTGTACTGGATAATAGCTCATTAATTGGAGAGCTGATTTGCAATACTTGTTGTGTTTGTTATATTTACTTATGTGCAAATCTCCTTGGGAAAGGTACAAATCCACCTCTTTTGCCCCCCAGCTATAGGTTAATTTAAGACTTGCATCACTAAACCATAACTATCTCAAAAAAAATTTCTTACAATCTAAAAATATTTTCTGACTTTAAATAACCTGTAAGCGATTGATAAGCTGTAGAAAACAAATCAATTAATCAAATTATATTCTGTTCATACATTTATTATATAAACTCTCAATGACATTTTGGAATAGTTGAATTTATTCCTTTTTATTTTTGTATAATTTCCTTAATTATTCCAAACAATTATATTTAATGTGCCTTTAATACAAAATTTCACACAGTTAAAGGCTCGAGAGCAACTCAATATAGAGGTTATGGTCAAAATGCCAATGTTGAATGAGATATATGATAAGAGGGAAAAAGGATGTGGGAAGAAGTGAATATGAGGATAAGGAGGAGAGATAACGATACAAGTCAAACGACATGCTAACCTGGAGCAACCTGAATCCAAAACAGTGGCACCAATAGTCTCTTCAAGGATTGTATTATTGCTAAGGTTATTGTGACTCAGTGCATGATAGAGCCACAAATAGTACATCTAGAGGGCTTACCATGAGGTCCAAGTGGATTTTGTTTCTTGATTTTATTCTTCTGATAGTTGGTTCAACTTCTATTTGCTCTGTTTGATCAATCACCTCTCCAGATATTTACTCTCCACTCTCTACAACAATTATACTTCTGTTAATTTTCCTGGCCTCACCTATATAAACTTTGAATTTAGGCAGGTGAGATTGTAGTGTTCAGGGTAGCACCCTGGCATGTTCTAGTAAAAAAGCTGCCTGAGTGGAACTTTAAACAGAGGAAATGACAGTGGTTCAACTCTGTGGAAATGCCATGGCATGTCCTAACCATAAAGGTCTGAACTGACAAAACTAAAAGAACAGAGCACATCTGCACATTTGCCATGGAAACAGCAGCAGAAATTACAGAGCAGAAAGACTGTGGTAGATATTTATTAACAAAATGAAAAAGACAGAATAAATTAAACTATGAAATAGACAACAGATAAAAGAAACAGGTTGGGTTTGATTCTGTTTAGCAGCATATCAACCTCTATGTGTTATTTAGGCTGAAATTTAAATATTTTGAACATAGTTTTATGGCTTCAACTACAGATAAAATGGATTGTTAGTCATTTTGCTATAAAATCTATTGTTGGTAATTCTGTTTTAAAAATGTATTTTTGGTAATTTTACCCAAAATCTGTATCATGGATAATTTTTTTTTCATATAATAATGTATTGCTGATATTTTTGGCATAAAAACATATTTTTACACTTTCATAGGGTTTGATGTTTTACTATTGGCCCATAGCTGGGACTCAAACAGGTGCTACCACTCTGGGTAAGGGTGGACCCAGGAACAGCAGCAATTAAGAGGTGGTTCCACACTCCTCAAAACCTCCAATCTCCCAATCTGAGGCCTTGCTGCCAGATGTAGTTTATTGTCATACCCAGGACTATAAAAGGAAAAGATACAGCAGCCAAAGAGTTATAGGTTAAAAAAGGGACTTGCCGGTAGAGTTTCAAAAAAGAAAAAAATATATAAACAAGGGATGTGACTATACTTACAGCAGGTCCCCAACGTGGGCCTTTCGTAGCCCAGCATATCTCAAGTTTACAGATAGAACAACACAGCCAATCACAGCCATCTTTTTTGCTCAGTATGACATTACAACGGGGGCACCTCATAGCTTCTCCAGTCTTCAACATCCCCTAGGGTTTTCAAAACAAAATATAAAAAAGATCTGAGCAAACTGAGAAAGCTTTTCTAAAACAATAACACATTCAAAATCATACAACCATAACAAATTTTATAGCATGAATGAAATTAGAGCCTGAAAGCAACAGATATTAAATTTGCTCAGGCTTATGTGCTGATAATTAGGTGAATAAAAATTTTGATGCTTTTTCCTGTTGTTGATTAAATATTGTCTAAAGTAGTGTGAGTGGCCATGGTTAAATATAAATAAATGGCAGAACTACCAAAACAAAAAGAATTAACAATAAAATAAAAGAAAAGAACAGTGCCAAAAATAATAGAAAACAAGCAAATAATATAAGCAAATCAAATTAACAGTAATATGACAAAAATTTCCAAACTAAGAATTGGGGTTAACACACAAAATCAAGTTCGGATAAACGAACATAGCGTTCTAACTTCATAAACAAGACAGACTGGGACTGAGTCAGATGAAACCGAGAACTGACTTACCCGGCTAGGAAGTAATCCCAGCATGCACTTGTGTGCTTCTGTCTATAAATTAGGAACCATTATCTAAATTAATTTTTCACAGGTGTTTTTTCTATTTTTTTTTCACTTTAACCTCTTTCAGATGTTTTTTTACAAGATATCTGCTGACATATCTTGTTAAAAAAAACATCTAGAAGAGCTTACAGAATTTTTTTTAACAATTATTGTCTTGACAAAGAAGGTCAACTGAATGAAGCAAACCTCACAAGAACCATGTCAAGTAACCCTGACAAAGAAGGTCAACTGAGTGAATATATTTTCTTCTTTAAAGGCCCCTAAAGGAACTGTGTTCTTGATCAAAGCAAACTCATAAATACATAGGTTACACTACTACATGACTATCCTGAGGATTACGTCACACCTATCCAACAACAGCTCCATTAGAACACATTTAAACAAACACAAAAACCTACCAGACTCCATACAAAATATATTAATAGAAAATACAAACATAATAACCTCAACCACATGTTAAAAAAAAAAAAGAAAGATTAAAAAAAAATAACAAATTAACAGTAATAAGACAAATCAACAGTAACGTGTCAAAAAGTTCACAAACTAAGAATTGGGGTTGACACACAAAAAACAAATTTGGACAAATGAATAGAGAGTTCTGACTTCAAGCCAAGACAGACCAGGACTGATTCAAATGAAAAGGAGAAAGGCCTATTTTATTGACTAGAAAGAAATCCCCATATACATTTGTGTGCTTCTGCCTATAAGTTAGGGAGAGGAAAGTAATTTGCAGTCATTCTCACTTGGATTAGAACCAATATCTAAATTAATTTTTCACAGGTGGTTTTTATTTTTTTTCAATTATCCAAGATTTGCCCATGTAATATCAGTTGTCAGCAAATATCTTGTTAAAAAAAAAAAAATATCTGAAAGAGTTTACTGAAATTGTTTTGACAGTTATTTTCTTGACAAAGAAGGTCAGCTGATCGAAGCAAACCTCACAAGAACCATGTCAAGTTATCCTGACAAAGAAGGTCAACTGAGTGAATATATTTTCTTTTTTATTATTAGGTTTAAAGGCCCCTTAAGGAACTGTGTTCTTGATCAAACCAAACTCATAAATACATCAGTTACACTACTACATGACTAACCTGAGGGCTTACGTCACACCCATCCAACAACAGCTTCATTAAAACACATTTAAACAAACACAAAAACCTACCAGACTCCATACAAAATATACTAATAGAAAATACAAACATAATAACCTCATCCACATTAAAAAATAAAATAAAAATAAAAAGTTTAAAAATAATGGAAGCCCTAATAATAAAAAAGAAAAAGCCAACACTCAATAACATTAATTACAAACATGGCCACAATGTGCTAACCATGTTTGGAAAATAAAACATCCCTAATACTCTAAATTCATATGCACAACCCATACATTCAGTTAAAAAGTAAATATAAAATCATCCTTGATAATGGCTAAATGTATAGTCAAAAGTGCTTGGAAATGTAGAACATTTGAACAGTTTTTGCACTTTTGCACTCTTTGTGTCCAGTAAAGAAAGCACTTGTACAAAATCAAGAAAAATTAAATAAAAAGCTTAATTGCTTATTAATATAAAAACCTTGTCAATTGTTTTTAATGAAACACACACACACACACACACACACATATATATATATATATATATATATATATATATATATATCTCAAAAAATACATATAGTAGTAGAAAATAATGTCAGACAAAAATCCATTGGATCCTCAGAAAGTATTTGTTTACATTTTGGATACAAAAACATGAGCAGATACAGGCTTTCAAAATCTCAAGAAGATGTGCATTCTTGAAAAGGGTAATTGAAACTTTCTGGCTGGTAATGCTCTCTGTGACTGAATAGTATAAAGCAGGCCAATTCAAATACTGCTTTCTCCTACAAAGAGGAACTCATGTTCAAACCCTGCTGGAGAGAAGATTTTCGCAAATGCGCAGCTTGGTAGATGTAATTCAGTGTATGAAAAAACAACAGGGCATCTACATGAACATGCAATCCACAGACTAACATTGCGTAGTAGGGAATGTATATATATATATATATATATAAAGTTGTAAATTAAAAAAATAATATTTTTTTATAAAAGTATTTATTTATTTATATATATATTTGATATTTCAGATTGACCTCAATCTTTCTTCAGAAATAACTGTTTGTTTACAAGTAGCATCCGTTGCGAGATGTGGATGTCACGTGATATGGAACGCCACTGTGTTTGAATATATATATATATATATATATATATATATATATATATATATATATATATATATATAGATAGCATTTAAATGAAGGTTAATAATGAATGGATTTTGATTAACTATAAACATCTGTTATTGCTTTCTTAGTTTATGCTATAAAATGCATGGATAAGAAATAAAATTATGCTTGAAGAGAATTTTTGTGTAGCTATGCTCCAGAAGAAATTTTTGTTTTCCTCATTTTATGCCAAGCAAGGTGATAAAGGCACTAAGACACATGGTGTTACTGAGTGTGAAAGAATCTGAGAAAAAAACATTATTAAGGAGAATGGATACTAAAAGAATAGGATTTAAACAGACAATTGACATTACATTTACATTTTTTAAGATCAAAGTTAACTAGAAAGCAAGAAGCTGGAAGATTGTTCCACAAGCATGAAATGCGAGAAAATAAAAAGTTACCATAGAACTTACGGTTATATGCAAAAATGTCAACTGTAAAAGGATGAGACATAGCTGCTAATCTAATATTGCAATTAAATTCGTAAGGTCAAATAAACCAAACTCGATTAACTTGAAACAATATTTATAAGAGTTAGCTCAGCTGAAGGGCAGAGAGGGAAATGGAGAGGAATATTCTGTTGTAACGAACTTCCAAGTGGAAAGAGCTTGCCAGCTTTGAAAATCAGTATTCAGGATTTTTTTTTTTTTACCTGGTATTCAACACCAATCTTTAGTACCAATTAGAAAAATGGATAACAAGTTTCAGTCATAATATTCTGGTAGTGTATCCAAATTTTACATCCTCAAACATTTTCAACAAACTGTTCTATCCACAAATTAAATTTGGCATTTATAAGATGGTAAAAAAGAAATGCACCTACTTCGAGCAATTTCTTTGTACGTTTTGCTTCACTGTTATTCAGAGAAGCTCTATCAAGTTCTGCCTGGAACTCTTTACAGTTCAGGCCCTCATGGATGGCCTTGCATGTCAAACAATTTGTCAGATTGCACACAGGACATTCAAAAAAGTTAACATCATCCTCATAGATGCACCAGCCTTGGCAATTAGGTGTCTTGCAGTGGTAGCTATTTGGAATGGCAGACTCTGCAAGTCGCAAGCCAATATTCAAGTATCGCTGATAGACTTCATCAGGAACTAACTAAAAATATTTTAAAAGAAAAAGACAAGTATTAGAAAAGAAACAAATGCTCAAAGAAATTAAATGAAAAATATTTTGACAATATTTATGAGAGATCATTGACTGAATAATATCCACATCCACATTTTCTGCTAATGGGAATCTGTGAATAAATCCTGAAAGTTTCATTAAAAGTCAACAATTATTTGATTTTTGCAAGAATTTCCAAATCAATGTGTTTTTCACAATGTGTTAAATATTACATTGACTGCTGATGTAATAAAAACAAGATTTTTAACCAAAATTTCAAACGTGCTAGAAATGATTAAAAATTTTAAGAAAATAATAAAAAAATACTTTGGTCTTTCCTCTTAATAATAACAAACATTTTACAATAAAACTCTGTATTAAGTTTGGGAACTTTTTCATCATGTTATGTCGTTTTTCAGTCAAAAATTGGAGGTACCTAAAATAATATATATATATATATATATATATATATATATATATATATGAATGGATTACATCAAAATGAAACTCAATTATAGCCCATTTATATATGACCATTTTGCTCCCTGGACAAAATTCCCTGGAGCTTGTCAATACTAAAACGTTTGATAAAATCACCATCTGCCTAGATTAGATATTAACAATCTGGACGATTTTTTTCTTACGTTTTCGAACCTGGAATGGCAAGAGGGATGTAATAATGCCCAGAATTTGTTCAGTGAATTTACAACTTTGATCACTTTTAAAATTCAAAAGAGTATTATATTTTTTCATAGCATCTTTACTCAATAAAAAAAGGTATTTCAAAATATTACATCAGCAGTAATTTCAATATTTTTCATGCTAATATACAGGGTAGCTTCCCTTTGAAGACGGACTTTGTTTTGGCCATTTCCAAATCTAAATGTAGCTCTACTTTCATCTTTCTTTTGACTTTCTCTGTGTCTAGGTAACATTTAAACAAGTCAAACCACATACCAACCTGAATCCAAAACAGTGGCACCAATTGTCTGTCCAAGGATTGTATTATTGCTAAGGTTATTGTGACTCAGTGCATGATAGAGCCACAAATAGTACATCTAGAGGGCTTACCATGAGGTCCAAGTGGATTTTGTTTCTTGATTTTATTCTTCTGATAGTTGGTTCAACTTCTATTTGCTCTATTTGATCAATCACCTCTACAGATATTTACTCTCCACTCTCTACAACAATTATACTTCTGTTAATTTTCATGGCCTTGCCTATACATTACATTATCTGTTTGCAAATCACTACTCCCATCTGACAATTGAGCTATCTTCACACCTGCTTGATTGCTGGAGAGGAAGTACACACTAAAGTCACTGGTCTAAAACCCATAACATTTTTTATTTGAATCATCATTTCATTAAGCGTTATGTCTTTAGCGATTACCATTACTAATTTTTCACTGTCTTCTCCAAGATTAGCACAGTTCAGGACTCTTGTAGCCCATACAACATCAGGTAACTTCATTTCATATTCACTGAATATAAACACATTCTATATTGAAATCAGCAATAGTCTTATTCTGTGGTCTAGTATACATTTTAAAATTTCCAAACACTATTAGAGCTGCTTGATTAGTATCCATCTTGAATAGAGAGTCCTTAAATAGAAAGGACAACTTTTTTTACAATAATTCCATTGGTATCAAATGACAATTGGAAAAAAATCTTACATTTTGCCGATGCGTTTCGTCTTTCGACTTTTTCAAGACAAAAATGAAGTCGAAATGTTTTTGTTGTTATAGTTACATTAAAAATCCAAATTTAAAAAGATAGACGCTTCTGTCTAAGCCTTTTTTTGGTTAATGTAAATTACTTTTATAGTAAGGGATTATTATTATTTTTTTTTTTTTTTTTTTTCCATGTCGACAATATAGTTAAATTCCCAGATGAATTCTGTGAACAAGACATTCGTCTGGGAATTTAACTAGTAATTCCATTCCTTACTGAGTATTTAATTTATCACATTGCCCCTCCATTGTCTACCAACATAATGCTTCTGTTGATTTTGGTTGCCTCACCTATATATAACATCTTTTGTCTGTAGATCACAACACACATCCACCAAATAAAAATATTGGATACGAATAGTGATGTGCAGACAGGGGGATGCAAACCACTGGAATGTTATCCTTAGTGTGTCATTTGAACTGCTAAGTGACTGTGAAGTTTCATTTGAAAAGTCAAACATATTGTATCTATGACTAGAACCAGATATGATACTGTTTATGTATTCTATTCATAGGTTAAAACTATGTTGGCTAAAATCAGTTAAAAACAGCAAAGTGAATGCCCAAAGAAAATAGGCAAAAATAAATTCATTTCAGAACAACAGACAAGACAGAAAGGATAAAGACTATATTTATCAAAAACTGCAAAGAAAATAACCAAAAACCATGGAATAATAAGAAAATATAATCAGACAACAGAACAAATCAAAATTTTGGTGCTTGTCAAATGGAATTGTACAATATGTTTTTCTTAAATCTCTGCAATAAAATAATAGTTTCTGCTTCAATGTAATCCATTATTGACCCCAAATCAATGTCTTCCTTACACAAAGAACTTACCGCTTTGATTACACTTTCTTGAACCTTTGCATTACACTGGTATTTATCATCTTGATAAAGACATCGAGCATCTCCTGATTCATTTAAACATATTGAATGCACCAAACAATCTCTGAAAAATTAAAAAAAAAATTGGCAATAAAAGACATTAACGAAACCTGAAAAAAACAATTAGGATAAGTAAGATTATTTTATTGCTAGTTTTACTTAACTATTTTATCATTGTACCTTTTCATTAACATCAATTTGCATCAATATACTCTTCATTACTACTGATTTTATTCCTTCTCCTTATTGTTGCTATTTATCCCCAAACTCTGGCTCAATACATTCTTCATTATTACTGTTATTTTATTACTAGTTTTATTCCATCTTATTATTGTTGCTTTTCATCCCAACATTCTGGGTCCATAAACACTTCATGAATATTATAATGATTATTTATTATTATTCCATCCTAAGGTTAAAAGAAGGATAATATATCTGAAAATAATTCCTCATTATTAGATAACCAAGAAAAATATTTCTGTTGAAATGGTTCCAATACTTCCCACCAAATATTAAGAAAAAATAATATGGTGATGAGGTTCAAGTAAGGTAACTTAATGAGTTTTAATAAGTAAGGTAACTTAATGAGTTTTAATAAGTAAGGTAACTTAATAAGTTTTAATAAGTAAGTGTGGGGAAAATTGTGAAAATGGCTTATCTTGGAAACGCATGTGAATCGTGCTTGTAGGTCTGGGAAGAAAATGGCACCCTCCGATGGAAATGAGGAAGTCAAATTCTGGAAGAAGTCCCGGCGCATATTTTCATTGTGTGGGAAACTTGTTGGACATTTCCCAGTGTGTGGATGGCTCAGGGTGGCAGTTGCATTCGTCAATCACCTGGCAACCACAGCAACCAATGGATGGGATGATAACATCAAAGATCCCTCTCTCTGTCGTATACTAGCGGAGATGTTAAGTAGAGTGCGGGAACTGGATCCCATTGAAGGCGACTGGTGCATGAGTGGTGACGAGATCACAGTCTGGGTGGATGCGAGTTCCGTGGTGACAGGAGTGGCATTGGAAGCGAACGGAAATGTTATCGAAGATGCGTGCTGGCTGCGTCCGACTAATGATGCCAGGCATATTAATTTGGCTGGACTCGATGTGGCGCTTAAAGGAGTGAATCTAGCTCTCCAGTGGGAGGCGACAACATTGCACTTGGTTACTGATTCGGCGTGTGTGCACCGGTGGATTTCAGACACCTTGACCGGGAAGGCACGGGTGAACACAAGGGCGGCTGGCAAGATGCTGGTTAGGCGACGGCTGGGCATTTTGCGATCGCTGGTGGAAGAATATTGATTGACCATAGACGTGACACTTGTACAGTCCTGTCAGAACCGTGCGGATCACCTCACCAGAGTACCGGACAGGTGGCTAGAACTGCTCAAGAGAGGAGAACCAGCACTTGAGAGCTGTGCAGTGGTAGGGAGAGGACTGGACGAGGACCAGGTTGCCAATACCCATCGTCAATGCGGACATCCGGGCGTGAAACAAACTCTGTACTTTGCCAGGTTAGTCGACCCGCAGGTGTCCAGAGAAAGCATTAAATCCGTTGTGAAGGCCTGCACAACCTGTCAGTCGATCGATCCGGCACCCGTTCACTGGGAAAGAGGAGAACTGAGTGTGAAGAGCAACTGGAGCAGACTGGCGATGGACATAACTCACTACAATGCTGAAAATTTTTTAACGCTTATTGATTGCGGTCCCTCCAGGTTTGCGGTATGGCAGCCGCTGCGCAGACAAGACGCGAGCACCGTCATTTGACTGTTGGAGAATGTTTTCTTGGAGCGAGGCCCACCCATGGAAATACTGACGGACAACGATATTGCATTCACCAGTAAAGACTTTAAAGAATTTGCGGACAATTGGGACGTGCATCTGCGGTTTCGATGTGCCTACTCGCCAAGTGGAAACGGCATCGTGGAGCGGAACGCAACAACTCAACTGATGATAGCAGGTAGGAACAAAGAAAACCCGGTGTCGCACGTCCAACCTTCTCACGAGCCGAAAGCTCTCTGATATGAAACAGCAAAACGAGCCTGCTTTATACAGCCGAGGACCGACCACGATTTGCATGCGAATGACGAGACAACGAGATTTCGCGTTAACTAACCAAGACCGCCCGGCATAAAATATGGGCGCTGCCATTTTGGTTCCTTTTGCCGTTGGGAGGACCGGAGTTTGCATACTGCACAGATTCGCACGCGTTTCCGAGGTAAGCCATTTTCACAATTTTCCCCACAGTAAGGTAACTTAATGAGTTTTAATAAGTAAGGTAACTTAATGAGTTTTAATAAGTAAGGTAACTTAATAAGTAATAAGATGGTCAGATTGATTGTTTTTTACCGCTTATCAACCCTTTATGGTTTATTTAACTTTTACCCCACTAAATTCTTTCTAGAATTGTCCCCCCTGCCACTCTATTTTTTTTTGAGGGAGCAAACAAACTGAACACTTACTGTTTTAAAATTGTATTGTGTGTACAGATATTTTTGTAGACTAATAAAAGAATGGATGAATAATATTTTGACGTAATGCATTATGTTTGCATGCAGGTTTTGATGGTGAAAACAAAAAAACTGAAGCACAAAATAAAAAAATACAAAAAATAAAAAACAAATGCATTAACAATTTAGCATACTTTAACTTTTATTACTCCTGGTGGAGTTCTGGGGGTGAAATAAGAAGCAAAATGGCTAAGAAGGTTTTCATTTCATCAAAAGTGACATATAGAAAAATTCAAAATGGTATTGGAAAACAGAAGTTTAGCCTCATTCCAAAACAGTAGTAGGCTATTTCCAGCCTAAAATAACAATTGACAAGTGTTTATTTATAGCAACCCTCTCGAAGCAACAGAACGCGCCTACAGCTACAAAGGGAGAGAATTCTCCAGCAACAATTTTCACCTCCAGCTAGTTAGCTGATTAAAGCAAATCATTTTTGAGAATAGCCATGATTTTATCCAGATACAATTCCTCCTATTTAGACTATATAACTGTTGATATTAAATGGAAAGACTATATTGAATCCATTGCTAGATCAGCTGCTAAGAAAGTCAATTCACTATGTCGGTCAAGACAATTTTTCTCTCTAGAATCTATCTTGCATATCTATAAGTCTACCATATGCTCATGATTAGAATATTGCTGCCACATATGGTCTGGTGCCCCTGGTATTTATCTTGAGCTCCTTGATAAGATCCAAAGAAGAATCTGCAATATTATTGGTCCTGATCTGGTAGCTAAGCTCCAGTCACTTTCCCACCACTGTAAGGTTGCTTCTCTATGCCTTTTCTATAAATACTTTCATGGTAATTGTTCAAATGAGCTCTTTGCTATGATACCTAGAGTATTTGAATTGAAGTGCAGTACAAGGCTAGCATCAAAATCTCATCAATTTACAGTTGAAATGGCTAGATAAAACCGTAAATTCTATGCTAACAGTTTCTTCTCTCACACTTCTTGTTTATTGAACTCCCTTCTAGTTCCATGCTTTCCAGCCAACTTTAATCTGCAAAGATTTAAATGCAATGTCAATTGCTATCTACTGTCCTCCTGATTACTCTTTTCTCTTCCTGCACATTATTATATAATGGGGGCAAAAGGTGAAGTAATGGAAGGCTCTCGGATTGAGGAATTGGAGAACCAAGTTTGAATTTCAGTTGAGTCCGTTACATTCACTTACATGCAAATACATTTGGGAAAGATATGAATCCATCTCCCCTCCACCAACTATGGGTTAAATAGAAGGATTTGTCTCTGGAAAAATCAAAATAGCAAATACCTTTGGGCAAGATATGAACGCATCTCTTCTCTATCCAGCTATGGATAAATAGCAGGGCAGACTGAATGCTATAATCTTGGACAGCAATCAGTCTAGTAGAAGGGCAACTGACGAGAACCTTTTTTGGGACCTCTTTTGAACTTCTGAATGCTAGTACTGGTATGATGTATAGGACAGATAATTAATTTGTTTTAGTCTTACTTAACATTTAGCAGGAAGTATCAGTATCATGCTAATTTAATATATTTCTTTGTTCTCTAATAATAAGATTATCCTTCTTCTAACTCTGGGTGTGTCCTTGGTGTAATAGTGGCTCAGAATAAGAAATCAGATAGCTGAGTTTGAATTCCACTTGGCTTTATTACATTCACTTACACAGAAACTCCCTTGAGAAAGGTATGAATCCATCACATTTTTTTTTAATCAGAATCACACCAAGCAATGCGGTAATGTCACTAAAACACAAGGGGTTACAAGGAGTGGAACAATTAGGAACAGAAACATTAATGATGAGCAGGAAGAGAAGAGAGTAATCAGGTGGAGAGTAGAGAGCTGGAAAGCATGGAACCAGAAGAAAGAAGTGTGAGAAAAGAAACTCTTAGCATAGAATTTATCATATATATATATATATATATATATATATATATATATATATATATACAGGATGCGAAGGGTAAATTTTTGCCATTTTATATTTTTAATTTCATGCATTCATGTTGTTTGTTTTTGATTTTGTTGAATACACAGGATAATAGGATCAGTTGGGCAACATCTATGAAAAAAAGAGCACCATAACACAAAATCACTCTGCCAGAAACTTGGAAACACCATGCTGTACTGCTTGACATTCATACCAGAAGTTCCAATACAAACATTTCAGAGTGCTTGGGTGTCAATCCGAGAACAGTGCAGAGAATTCAAAAAGAGTTGGACAAATCTAATGGCGATTACAGAGGCACAAAATGTTCTGATAAGAAAAGTACTACCAAAGATCCAGGCCATGATTGACAATGATCCCTCCAAGTCAAGGACACAGGAATGTCTGAGTTTCTTATCAGGCAGGTAGTGTATGAAGACATTCAGTATTTCTCATACAAGATAAGAAAGGACTAATTTTTATCCCAGGTGAGGAAGGACAAGAGAAAAGCCTAAGGTACGAAACTTTTGAATAAAATCAAGTATCTCTTTGGACATGCTTTGGTTTTTCACAGATAAGAAAAAATTCTTCCAGGATAAGATGGTGAACACACAGAACAACCATTGTACCGAAAGGGATGAAAACCAAATATCCAGTCAACATCATGGTGTTTGATGTGATCACTAGTGATGGCGACATTATACCTCCATTCATCTTCCCACAGAGTCTCACATTCAACAAGGAGGCCTACATCAAGTGCCTTGAGGAGGTAGTGCTCTCCTGGGTCAAGAGGGTGGCTGCTGGAAAACCCTATGTCTTGCAACAAGACTCTACACCATGCCACACAGGCAGAAGAACCCATTTATGACTGTCAGACAATTTCTGCGGCTTACATCTGGCCTGCTTAACTTCCCAAATTGCCACCTCCTTGATTATTATGTCTGAGGTGCAGTTATGCAAGTGACGAACAAAATTACTTGTAACACCAAAGATGAACTGAAGGCAAGGATTATGGCAGCATTCACCAACTTAAACAACTCTTTAGTATTTCAAGATATTTTTGTGCAGTTTTGGTAAATATATCTGTTAAAAAGAGACATCAGTGCTATTTTCATTTTTGCATAATTTAGACGACAATTTATCAATCACACCCTGTGTGTGTGTGTGTGTGTATATATATATATATATATATATATATATATATATATATACACACACATATATATATATACACATACACAAGGGGTCCTTGGCTTACTAATAGAATTCCTTTCCTACAATGTACCGTAACACAATTTTCTGTGCAAGTCAGAACATACCCCACAATTTTACGTGTATAAATCTGTCACTCACTTATGCTAATGCAATAGTAAAGTAATAATCTAGGACATAACACCAAATTCCTATGATATATATTAACATAATTATGACTAAAAAAAACATGGGGACATGAATATAATACATATAATGAAATGAAAATAATACAAATAATGAAATGAAATTGTTTTAAACTGTTTCTATATTTATTGACCAGTACAACCAGGAACTGACCCATATTTCCCTCCTTACTCTAGCTTCGTATGATGACATATTCTTCTGCTGCACAATGTATTCTTTCACCACACTATTTGCATTATATATACAAGGCAAACGGCATAAACCAAAGCAAGATTAATGTAGGTTGCATTGTAACCATGAATTGTTGTAGCTCAGAACTGTTGTAACCCAGAGATTTAGTGTATATATATGTTCTCAAGACACAATAAAATGTCAGTCTCTTGCATCTGTGTTATAGACTACTGAGACTTTAGTGCTATTTACAAACCTTGTGGCGTACAATACAAATTTTCCCCCATAATGGATAAGAACACCTACGCAACAATGCTATAACAATGCAGCACTGAAAGTGTTAACAAATTAAAATTATATTCAAAAATTGCCATTATTACCTTAGGATAACACTCGACTTTTAAGCAAAAATACCCAATGGTTTCATGAGATAAATTGGGGTGTTCCAAGTTAGTGATAATGATGCTTTTTCTCCCAAGCTACGTCTAACACCAAAATCGTCATCTGATTAAAACATGCATTCCTTCAGTATGTATATTAGTATGTATGTATTTTAATATGTGCAAAATTTTGTTTTCGATTTGTCTTTTTTAATACTAAAGTTAACCTAATACGAGGCTCAAGAGCTATTCATGATAGAGGATTACTGAAATAAGTTGTATGATATGAAAGTAAAAGTGAAAAGAAAGTGAAGATTATGAGGATAGATAGCAAATGACCCTTTACTTGAAGACTGTACTGTTCAGAGAAACATCTATGCAGGTTAACAAAGTAACAGTTCTCAAGAAAAAAAACTATTTGAAATTATTCCTTACAAATGTAATATGGAGGATATGTAGGTGATTCAATTCCATGGTTATAATATGGCATGTCCTAAATGCAAAGGTCTGTACTGGTGGAACTAAAGAGTTGAGGTCTTCTGAACATTTGCCATGGAAATAGTGATAGGCTTGCAATGCTACATCTGTGGGAAAATGAGAAAGAAATCATTCCCTACAAGAAGCCAAAACCAATTTTTGGAAAATGACATTTGGGCGGCTTCAGACCATAAATGGCAGCAATACTCCATTTTTGGCCTTGTGTAAAAAGCTTGTTTCAATGCAACAGTTTCAGTTTATGTAAACATATTTTTATATATACAATTTCATCTCATAAACGCATAAATCCATGAAGAGACTTACTTGCAGAAAGAATGTAAACATTCTTGCAAAATAACCCCTTCGCCTGCAGCTATATCATCGAGGCATATTGGACAACAGAAGGCGTCTGGGTTATGGACAAGACTCAACTGGGCAGTGTCTAATAAGAGTTGCCGATTTTGTTCCCGGTCTTTTTCCATTTTTGCTTCAAGCTGAAAAAGAAAACTCAGTCTTGGTAATTATGCAAAATAAACATTTCATAATCCAATGTATGCAAAGACTGGAATAGCTTTATAGCAACCCCTTGCCTGGAAGCTAAGGTCGTTGTACATTTTGCACCAGCATGGTGGCTGATGTTCACAGGTAAAAAAAAGTAAAAAAGTAACAGTTTCCAATGATGACTGTTTCAAATTTAGCAGGAACTCCCCATCTGGGAAGGTAGTGTAAAACAATCTTTTTACTTGCCTCATCCTCCACACCTAACATGCATAAATATTATGGTACGAAACACAGCTTCATTTGATTGCTATTATATAGCCTACTTTGAAAGTGCCATATACACAGAAATTATTTTTTTTATTTTTTTAGAGAGGAAGAAAAGCTGTAAGAAAAATGGATTAATGTTCATTTCAGGGTTGGCAAACTATAGACAAAGCAGATCATATGAAATGTTATTCTGAATACTGCTGCCACATCTAGTCTGGTGCTTCTACTATATATTTAGAAATTCTTGATAAAATACAAAGAAGAATCTGCAATGTTATTGATCTTGACCAGACATCTCACCATTCAGTCACTTTCCCATCACCATAATGCACCTTTTCTATAAATACTTTCATGGTAATTGTTCTAATGAATTTTTCTCTATGGTACCTAAACTTTATGAATTAAAGTGCAGTACTAGAGTGGCAGCTAGGTCTCATCATTTTACAGTTGGAATGGTGAGATGCAACTGTAAATTCTATGCCACAGTTTCTTCTATCACACTTCTCATTTGTAGAACTCACTTCCAACTTTTTGCTTTCTAGTCAAGTTTGATCTTCAAAAATTTAAATACAATGTCAATCATCTGTCTTAATTCTTGTTCTTTTATTGTTCTCCCTTCTAAATAGCGTTTTTCTTTTCTCATATTCTCTAACACTCAGTAATTCCTTGTGTCTTAGTGGCTTTACTGCCTTGCTTGGGATGAAATGATTAAAAAAAAAAATTAGATATAGAATTGAGGCGAATAAAGAAAACAGTAACCAGCGAGTAAATTCAAGCTCTCCCAACTGGTATTTCAACCTTGAGTCGTTCCTTCTTGAGTTCTGTCTCCAAATCACACTAACTGCCCGTTCTTGCCATCAACCGTGAACATCCCTCGAAGAACTCCCCGACTCGGAAAAAAGTAGTTGCTTTTATAGTTGTTCATATACCCATAATCCCTTGCGTCTTCATGTGATCCCATAATTCATTGCGTCGATGTCCCATAATGCATTGCATCGTTATTGCATAAAAATGCGATGCCAGTCCCCCCTCATTCTTTTAGGTTATCTGGCCGAGGATGGATTACGGCAGAGTGGTAAGTGCTTTTTTCTCTCCCTCATTTCAACTGCAGTAGCTTTACATGCTAAGCAAATACGGGCTCTTTTTTGGCAGGGACAAGGCAAGTCATGACCAGTTGTGCTCGTCCCAGGTTCTGTCTCATGTCCGCCACAAGAATCCAAACAAAAATGAAGAAATGAGACAAAGCAGAAAAGCTTTTTAATGACAACACATTTTGCCTTCATATCTTGGCTGGATTTCTTCAGATTAGTAGACCTTCTGAGTTGTAGACAACACATAAAGGTGAAACACATTTTCATTCAAAAGCTTTTCTATTTTCTCTCAATATTTTTTATATTAGTTTTCCTTTAATATCATTATACACAACAGACCATAAGTTTAGGGCCAGTCTCTGGATTTAAGTAAGCTTTTAAGTTTTATGCCTTCTTTGATTTACTCAACTATTACTAAGCTAGAATGATGAAACAATTTAATCCATAACATCCAATTTTTTTATAGAGGGGGTGTGATCTAAAATTTAAAATCCTAAGATTACCATTAGCTAACAAGGTAGATAAGAGAAAAAAAGTTAAAATTTTAAGGAAAGTTTATGAAGTAAGGTTTTAATTTTGTTGTTGTTTTTATTATTATTATTGAATAAATGATAAACCACTTCAAGAAGAGAAAGTTCCACTGGCCTGAAATAAGCTAGTAAATTAGTTTTGAAAAAGGCATGAAACCTTCAATTTTTAGGTGATTCTTTGAAATCCAGTGGGTGATTCCCAAACTTTTGACTGATAGTATGAATAAAAATTGTAAAAAATGTCTTTTATGCATCATTGCAGATCTTCCATCAGATCCACAATTAGAAATGATCAACAACCAGGTGAATGGTATGCTAAAAGACAAACACAAAGAAAGTTAATTGATGTTTACAAATTCCTTCCATATGAAGGATATTCTGCTTTAAAATCTTTTGCTCCCAAAATATTTGCATAAACATTGGTTTTAAATAATCATTTATTTCACAGCAAATGTTGATAAGAACCGCATTCTGAATTAGTTTGATCTAAAAAACAAATTTTTTCATACCCTTTGATTCTTCATATTTAACACAAATGCTAAAAAGATTCAAGTAAAGTTTAGATTTATTCATAATAGAAAATATCATTCAATATGATTCGAAATAAATGATTAAAAAATAGTAATTGTATTATAAAAAGTTGAAACAAAAAATTTTAAAAAATGAATAGAAATACATGAATTTAAACAATTTAAACTGAAATGCTTATTAAAGCTAAATATATACAGGGTGTATCAAAAACACTTTTACAAAATTTTGGGTGGGTTCCTCACACCAAAACAAGGACAAAAATTCACATAAAAATATGTCTGCAAATCTTGGATCAATCCCAACAGTCTGTAGAATGTGTTCTTCATTGTCAGGCATACAAGCAGATCTCAGTATTCCTTGATCCATAGTTTGTGATGCCAACGATCTTGTCTCAGCAATGCAATGATAAACAGAAGCAAAGATTTGATGACTCAGCCGTCTCTGGTCTGGAAATGCAATGTGATACTGCCATGCAGCCTCTAGTCCATTACCATTCACACAGACATATGTAAGACATATCTGCTTCTCACTATTACACACATTAAATGTTGATGATAGACTAGCCACAAATGTACACGACTGACAAATATAACTTAGTCTATATGGCAACACAGCACCTCCAACCATAATCCTTCATTAAACTCAAGAACAAAGGACTTGCAGACATATGTTTATATGGAATTATGTCATTGTTTTGGTGAGGAACTGGTCCCCAAAGATTGTAAAGGTATTTTTGATACAGTGTGTGTGTGTGTGTGTGTGTGTAAAAGAGATTACAGAATCCAGACATAGTTTGAAGAATATGACAAATGGAAAACCATTTCATTGAAACTAGGTTACAGTTTTCGATTTGTCATATTCTTCAAATATTGTCTGGATTCTATAATCTATTTTATACATGTATTATCAACAGGGAAATACAAAGACATTCAGAAAAGGTTATGTGAATTTTTTACTTTCAAGCCATTCTGAAAATTGGATGAGGATTTACTTTAAATTCAATGCAGAAAAGAAAAGCTGGGAAAAGATATAAACAACTTTTGACAAAAACAAGAAAATTGTAAAGAAAGATAAGAGCATAAAAATAATGGCTTTTATACAAAAGTCATACAATTTTATTCTTTCTTTCATCCAGGGAATTACCAGCTTAATGTAAAAAATATGAATAATTATTTAAGCATACATGCAAACACACATATTTCTTTCTTTGATCTGATGAAGCCTAACAAGAGTGAAACATAGATATTGTATATTTATGTATATAAGGTGACCTTTAGATAAGACAAGATCAGAAAGAATAACAAATTTTTCATGAATTTATCCTATACATGTAGTATAGGATACCTGCTTATTGATTATATAAATTAAATTAACTAATTTTTTTTTATGTTGGTAGGACTACACATGCACATGATAGAAGGGTGCTGGGAATTTTAGAATTTTTTTTTCTTTTTCTTTCTATAGGTATTCCAGTAGATATTCCACATTGTGATATTAGAAGATCTGCCAAAAAATGGTGAAATATTGTTAAGAGCCAGGGTGCAAATTTACTGTGGATGACCTTGAGATTAAAATACTCTCTAGGCATTTACATCGTTGTGAATTATTTTCTATTTGATCAGAGTAGCATTTTTTATGTCAAAGTTATGGTCACTCATTATGATGGGCAACCAAAGCTTTTGATGTCTTATTTTGTAAAATGTCCTTTTTGTGTTCATATAATCTTTAATTTAGATTCTTTAGTGTTTCTCCTATGTATTTTTGTGACAATTATTACAAGTAATAGAGTAAATTCCTCTTTCAGATTATTGTTTTGTTTAGTATTGACTAAGTCTTTTATTGTTTTGGATGTAATAGTAACAATTTTTACATTCAGTTTAGATAGATTCTTTTTTATTGTAGCTGTGATAGAATTAATAAACAGGATAATATATACACACACACACACACACACGCACACACACACCAGGTATAACAGCAAAATTGTTTAATTGTCAGATTAGGCTCTGAACCATCATATCTTAGAAATGTTTAAAGATATTTTACTGGAATTCTCCAAAGATTTTATAACACTATTGGACTTGACATTGAGCAATAAGAATGTATAATTACTCTCTAAGCTTAACAAAAGAATCAAGATGTTCATCATTAATTAATCATGGCTAAGGATTGGAAGCTCATGGAGTATTGAAATAAAGTTCATATATATATATATATATATATATATATATATATATATTATTCCAGGATCATTTTTCAACTTATTCAAGATGATCTTTGCCTCCTAACCTTCTATCCTGGAGTAAGAAGGTGCCTCACAGGTTTCACGTACAATTTCATTTTCAAGTCTTTTTTCACTGCTCATAGCTGAAACTTTCACGTGCCAAATGTCTTATAAATTGGGTTGGATCTTTTCTAATTGATCTCTTTGGCTCTAAGTTGAAATGATGATCCTTTTCCTGTTGTGACCTCCTGATCCAGATTTTCTTTCTAGTGTGACCTCTTTTTTAAACTTATTCACTGTTATCTTGATGTTTCTTGAATGGATTTTGTAGATGGAAACCAGAGTATGAA